ATGAAAGGAAAGACCAAGAAAACAAGAAGTAAAAAAAAGATAGTGAAACAGCATATTTTATGAAAAAAGGTTCAGGAGATGTAATAAGGACCTGTGGGAAGGCTGAATGTAAACTTGGCTGTCTGTGTTTCATCCCTAAGCTGCAAACACAGACAGTATTCGGTATGGATTGGGGTGGAAATCGTCAGTGCAGCCCCCAACCCACCATTTGGAAAAGTTTATAACATATCAGTAAGGTAAGAAGTTATTTGTCTTTTTTTTTTACGTGGTTTCCTTTTTTGTTTTTTTTGTCCTAAATAGCCTTTCTTTTGCCAAATGCTTGGTGATGTTGATAAGCTTGATATGTTCGGTCTTGTAACGTTGATATGGCTGAAAATGTTAGGTTTAATGGCCCAAATTTGAGGTTCGAGAGCTAGGCGGTAACCGAACTGGTCTGAGAATTGGAAGTGAATGGAATTTATATGATTTTTTTTTTTTTTGGGATCTGGGATAATCTGGAACAATTAATTCCAATGTACATATTTTAATTTCCATCTACAGGCTCATATATAGACAAAAGAGGAAAATCAGATAAAGCTAACAGTTCCCTGTCGACCAAGAACCTTCGCTTCAATTCGTGGTCCCAGCATTTTACAGGGCCCGCACCAATCCGCGTAAAAATCCACCAAAACTGGTACCGAAGAACGCAGAACCTGAAAAAATTTTTTGAACAAAATTTCAAATTTTTTTTTAAACAGTCAATATAAGTCTCCAGTTGGCGATTTCTAAAATTGTTTGTCAAAAAACAACAACATAATAGAAAAGTATATTGAAATAGGAAGAAGAATCGAAGAGGAAATTCCGAAATAGGAAAATTAAGAAACAAGTAAAAGTAGTAAAATTATTTTAATAAAATTATTATAATTGGTAAGAAATGTTTCGGTCCATTAACAAATATAAACCATTTTTTGCAAGTCTCACAAAAATGGCTCAAGTTCTTCAAGCATTAATTACATATCTGGTATTGTATGAGGGAATGAAAGATAACAAAACAGCTGATTAAAGACTGGTTCGCAAAAAACATGACGATCCTGGAGTTGGAAAAAAAGCTAAAAAATCGCAAAAAAAGCTAAAAATCTGAAGTTAATGTCTGGACCTTTTCCGTGAAATCCTCCTCGCCTTCAATGTTAAAAATCAGCGATTGCCGTTGCTCATCACAAAACATCCGACGTGCACCGGATCCCTACAAAATTAAAACGTTAAACAAAGTTGGCCTTACATGAACACTGGAACTATTACATGAGCACTGCGGTGCAATTAGTTTAAATACATTCCCATCAGGTCGTGCCGCAGATAGTTGTTTCAACTCTGTCAAAAAAAAAAAATCAGCAACACACACCAGACTAGCCGGTGCGATCATGCGTTCTGTGCAATTTAGGCCATCGAACGATTGCCTATTAATGATTTTCAATGCTCTGTACTTTAGTCTATGCAAAAATAGTTCAAACATTGGAAAACAGTTAAAAATTTTACGCATCAGCACATGAAAACTGAATTCGAAACCTTGAAGGGTGAATATCTTTATCCCGAGTTAATAGTTTACCCGCCAAAATTTC